TTTTTTTATATAATATTAAACATAAAATTACTTTTGTTATTGTTACCTAATATCACAATAGGTATAGGAACTTAATATTTAAGTAATAAACAAAACAAAATAAATCACTTTTATCTTAATTAAGAACAAATTAACTTCTTCTAAACTTAATTCGTCATGTTGAATGACACTAAACTTCAACAGAAACAAAAGGTAAACGACTAAATTATAAACTAATCGTGATCATAATATTGCAAAAGGCGACGACTACTAATAATTTCAAGTAGGTACCTGTAATCGTTATTTCTTATTAGTATTCATAGTTAAACAATCTTATGTTATGGCGAAATGTCTACTAATCTACTTCGCTTGGATGGAATTTAACGCGCCGAACCTGACCGAGCAGAGCGCGAGAACTCCCGAACGCAGTTTCTGTTTCGGTTGTAGTTTCGGCAGGTTTGCCGCCGAAACCGAAACTAAACCGAAACTCGTTTTTTTGCCGAAACTCGATCGAAACCGAAACCGAACTTTCGGTCGGACACTACTAATTTTTTTCTATTCGTCGGGAACAGGATTTTTCTGAATAAAAGGTACCCTATGTGCTTTTCTTTATTTCTGACAATGTGTTCACAAAATTTCATGATGATCGGTCGAGTAGTTAAGGCGTGAAAATTCAACAAACAAACAAACAAATTTACATTCGCATTTATAATATAAATTAGGATTAACAGTCGGCTTGCTTGCACCACATAATTCACATTTACTAGCTACAATTTGCCCTCATCGCTGGACATAAGTCGATATTTAGTAAATAGTAATTTTAGGTAATTATACCGTCATTTAGCTAAGTTTGATTCCCTGTTCAGTTGTTTTATCTCCACCCCTCTCCGTCCACCCTCCCCCATCTAGAAGTACTTGCTTGTTGTTGTTCAATACCATTCACACCTCTACTTCCATTGTAAACAATTACCAATGTTTCTCCTTATAAACTTTACCGTCTCTTTAACGATGGAATCTCTCCTTATTTCGCCTTTACATACTGAAGAAATATTTCCCCCAAATTTGAAATCGCAAGACTTATAATAGGTTGTGTATTGTCTCGCAGCCAGTCACATTAACACCCTTTTAGGGATCAAATTAACAGACACCCCCCCTAGGTTGTGTATTGTCTCTCAGGCAGTCACATTAATACCCTTTTAGGGATCAAATTAACAAACACCCCCCCTAGATTGNCATTATGTTGGGCATACTATCACAGTGCTTACCACATATGTGATAGAAGTAGTTTTATCTATATTTAAATATTATTTAATGCTAGCTAATCTGCTAAATGTTTTACGCATTATTCATTTTATCATTTGCTTCAAACCATGCGTCAGCGGAATGATTTGTTTAAGTCATTATCGTGTTACCGTCTAAATCATTCGGTAGATCGTTTATATATAAAAGAAAGAAAAGAGGACGTAAAGTAGTTCCTTGTGGAACCCCGTCGTTACTGATTTTTACGAACTGTAACAATTTTGTATTTTGACATCCATTCGCTATGCAACTGCTAAGTAGCTGTACTTGTGATTCCATATCTTTCTCATTATCAATTAAACAAAAATATGATAAATCGTAACATCAGGCCTAGAAAAGCCACAATAAACGGTTTATATCTAGATTGTTAAGTGCATGTAATGTTTGATATATTATTTACAATTAGCGTTATTAGAATTAATTTTATTTTTCTTTGATTATCCCACGTTTCATGTATACATTTGTAGAAATGTAACAAAAACGGGTTCTTCGGAAAGTAAACAAAAGAAAAATCAAAACAAAGCGTGCTCGAACTGGGAGTTTACTTCAAAACTTTCTCGCCCTTACAATTAGTCTGATCTTTTTTGTTCATTCTTCCTGATGCTTTCTGTTTCATAAAAACAATGGGAATGACACGTCGAATCTATTGTTTTTAGATAATTACAGCAACCTGAATCAGCAGATCTGTGCTTTGTTGTAGCATTAAATACAATACGTTAAAATAATAGAAAAAATAACTTTTCTAAAAATTTCGTATAGACCAGGGGTGACCAACTTCTGTATATATATTAGGATTGACTTTTCCTCCCCATGCGGAATTTCATAAAGAAGCTGTGTTTGTAAATCGTAATCGTTGAAAGGCAGAGATGTGATTTATTTGAAATACTTGCATTTAAAATGCAAATACAAAATAAAAGATACCTATTTTTATCTTGCATTTAAATACTTCTTTGAGAAAAGCATTTAAAATACTTTTGCAAACCTATTTTCTATTTATACAATTCAAAATAAATCTTTGTCGTTTAAAGTTTTGCTATAGTATCACCGATCAAATATTATATACAATGATGAATGAAAGTTGCTCACATTGGCCATTGAAGGTATTAGAAATTTAAAAGGGGTCAAAGAGACATTCCATGAATGTCTTCTAATTCTATAACTGAAGAGAGCCCAAAATATTCTAAACTTCTCGAAAATTGATAACCTAAAATATTGGATTGATACTGTTTTCCGGGTTCAATATCATGGTCCATGGAATTTTAAAGTTCCAAATTGATATCAGCAGCTGCCAAATCACCACTTATCGTACTTTCAGCAAGGAACTACGAAATTCTATGAATTACGACAAACCACCCAGCAAAATAATATCAAATATATTGTATAAACGCCAGCAGTGTAAAACTGAAAACTACAAGATATTGTGGTGTGCTAATAAATGCCTATAATCCAAAATTCTTTGAAAACGATTCGAAAAATTTCATTTATTAGACGAACCCAAAGCACAAGAAGATATGAATTCTATTTCTTTTTCTTATTACAATGTGTAAAAGATCGGAAACAAAATGGGGTTGTAAATATTTTGATATAAAATGATTGATGTTGATTTTACGTGGTTAAAATATTGTCAAAAATTATACCAGTAATTATTATAAAATACTCGCCTATTGTGGCCATAGCAGCCCCCAATACCATAAGAAGTAGTCCTAAGCTCAAGGCCTTACAAGCATTCCAAAGACATTTTCCGTTAACCCTTCCTCTCACCACCTGAACGTTCCATTGCGCGCCAGACGCCGGATAAGCGCGCCGTACCACCCCCATACTACTCCCCCCCGACCTTGCCCATCCGCTACCCAAAAAACTGGCCCGGTTCATCTTCGTCCTCTCCTTTCTTGTTCGGCTTTCCCGGGGGATCTGTAAAAACATTTAATTAAAAGGTCTTGTGTAATCGACTCGATCCGAGAAGCTGTTCAACTTAAACATATCGCACACAACAAAAATCCTTATAAAAAACATCACTTTCAATATTCCAAATTAATGAGAAAATTCTAAGTGATTAATAGATCTGAAGTTTTAAGACTGATTTTGTACAAAGTACTTACGGTAAATCCAGTTATTATGTATTATTAACGGTTATTATCCTAACTAATATGATAATATTCGTTTCTATGTTTGTTTGTTACGTTTTCACGATTCAACTGCTCAACCTATAATCATGAAATTTTATACATACATTGTCAGAGATATAGAAAAGGACATAGGGTACCTTTCATCCAGAAAAACAATATTTTGTTCCTAAGGGATAGATAAATTAGTTATATGTAATCGTCGACAATATTTGACACGTGGGTATTTAGGACATGAACTCGAGCGAAGCCGATTATGAAATTCTTTTTTGTTAGGGCTACAGAAAAGGACATAGCGTACCATTTATTTTGGTTAGACTCCAAAAACTTTAATTTCTAGTTTAAAGGTTAAATCTTAGTGGTGAATGCTGCTCGATTTTAAAATTTATATTTTTCCAAATAAAAATAAAGAGGAACTTTCAATTTTTTGTAATGTATGAAGTGCTTAGTTGAAATGTCCCAAAATACGATCGCTTCGCTACCAATCATTTAAAGTTATCCGGTCGAATTTTCATTTCTAGAACTGTTTTATGTTAGCTTTCTATTAAAAATTAAATTAATTAATAGTTTTTGTTTAGTTGATGATTTAACTAATCAAAGCGGTCCAGGAGTGATCTTAAATCACTTTTATTACTACATTTAAAAAACTGCTTCCTTTATAGAAACGTGCCGATTTCGATGTCTATTTTCTTTTCTTTCATAAAACAATTGTTTCGTTATTCGACACGCATAGACACGTCTTCCTTTCTTAGTTTTTGTTCTTATTATGTGTGCCTACGTGATATAACGAAGAAGGTTCGTTATGCAAAGTGGTATGCACTTGGCGACTGTCCTTATCTTTTGTGCAGAACACAGGGAGAATTTACATTTGGTAATTTACTGAACAGTTATTAGGTTGGTTCATTTTAATGAAAGACGAGAGAGATAAAAACACTCTCACTACGCCTCTGGTGGTTGTGCTTCACATCGTGTGATGTCGGAAGAGCAACCAGAATTATAAGCCAGTACAGAGCCCCCGAGCTAGAGGGGCTCCAACATGTATAAACGAAAAATTATATACATAGGTACTATTAATTGAAATACAGTGGAATTCGGTTGTAACAATATCTGCTATAACGACAATTGTGATGTAACGTCAGTTTTTAATAACCTCGAAAATTTGCTATTCAAACTAACGCTGAAAATTTTGCTAATAACAATAACTGGGGTATAACGTCATATTTTTATTGCTACAAATTCTTGAAACTGTCGTTTTATTTCTGATACCCTTTATTCGATTTTATTGAGCGATTTTTGTCTTGCTATCATAATATATCGATAGTGGAAAGTTAATTCTAGAGTTAACCAGCTATAATTAAAACGTTTAAATAAGAGACGTACGGGATTTCTTAGGACTACTTTTGGTATACAAGATGCTTTCGTTTAATCCAAATGTTTCATTAATAATAAGAAATTTTGGCGAATTCGACGTAGAAATGAAAAATTGTAAAAAGTGGCGGGTCTATAGTCACGAAGAAGTGAACGATGCAGTTTCGGCGTATTTTTCTATCAAAGGCATAACATGTTTTTTCGAAGGTATACGTAAAGGGTCGCGTCGCCTTTAATAAAAAGAAGTCACTTCTATGCTCGCGAACGGTTAATTTAATAATTCTAAAAAGTTTGTAAAAGGTGTATGTTTGGAGCGCGGCGTTGTACGGGTGCGAAACATAGACAGTGACAGACACTCTATGGAAGTCAATAAAAAATAGACGAGATATATTGGTAGGACATCTTCTCAGGCATGAAGGTCTAGTCAGAGACGTATTAGAGGCAGAAACAGGAGTTAGGAGGGGTATAGGTAGACCTAGGTTAGATTACCGTTCGCAAATAGTTAAGGATGTGGGATGTTTGTAGTTTTAAGGAAATGCGAAGGTTAGCTTAAGATGGGAGGTACGTGTCCAACCAGTCTTAGGACTGACGACCTCATAACGATGATGATGATACGTAACTTAATTGAAAGATCGGAGAAATGTGTGAGGGTAGCAGGTGAATATGTTGAAAAGGAAAATTAAATTCGTACTTTTATTTCCACTTCTTACCTCCCATTCCGCGAACTTAAAAACGACCCTCGTATGTAGGAAAATACTCGTATTCGCATTTGTATGCATGAATGTGTGTATTTGTGTTCCTTAAATGAGTCGAGCATGTGAATTTAATTGCTTTCATTTATTAATCCTGGTGATGAGAGAATTCTCAGGAATCACTCGAAATCGTATGTAGGTACGTACATTAGGGCCTTCCTGAGTGTTTTGCTTAAGAAAATGGCGCTTGAATCAACAGTTAACGATTTTTTTATTCTGATATTATACAGGATGAGTCATTTATCTTGAAAGCATGACGTATCTTGATTAGATCTCATTACTTTAGAAAATGTTTTCGAAAAGGAAATTTGTGGCCGTCGGAGTCATTCACAGTTCAAGTTTTTTTGGAATGGAAATTATTATTTTTGTACCTAGCAAGGAAAACGGCGGAAAACTTTGTAAACAGAAATTTTCTTTTGGTTTTTTTTGTCAGTGTATACTCATGAGATATTAAGAACAATCCGACCCATTTTGATTGAATCGGATTGCATGTTTTGGAAAAGAATTGTATATTTTTATAATGGCAATTAACTGTTTACCTTAAGTGTAATCTTGACTTTGATTCTCAAAGTAATTTAAAGGACAAGTTATTTAAAACATATTTTTACCCAGAATGGAAAGAGCGGGAAATTTTATAATTGGAAATTCCTCTGAAATTGATTTGTTCTTAATGCCTACCGGAAAATTAATACCGAATCAGCTTCAAAGGCATTTCCAATCATAAAAATTTCCATCCTTTCCATTGATGAGATGGAAACCATGCATTTTCATTAAAAACTGATGTGATCTTCATATGGCATTAAAGATCAAGGCTAAAGTAACACTTAAGATCGATCACTTGTTGATTGACCCTTTAAAAACATACTATCTTTGATTAAAACTTCAATCAAGATATTTTCGATATTTTATATGCTTCAATTTCCGATTACACAGATTTCCGCTGTTTTCGTTACTTAAAAAATAGCTCAGCCTGCAAACGAGGCTAAAGGTCAAAGGCAAGGTCGCCAATTGTTTTCACCTTAAAGGGTATACAAGTTTTGTCTAAATTTTTTTCTAAAATAATTGAGATCCATCCGAGATGATTTTATTTCTTAATTTTTGAAGAATTGGTTACAACTTTTTAATGTTTATAAATAATTTATGGGACTCAAAGATGAAGGCCCAAGTAACAGGACGTTCTAAAAGTATCTATAATTTCCTTAATAGTGGAATTTTTGGTCAGTTTCAATAATAGATTAAGTGTTTCCCAGCGCCTTCAGCATTTTTATCAAAAATGTGTAATATAAAAATAATAATTAATAAATTATGGTGTGAAAGTATTAAAGTATTTTAGAACAAATGTCATACATCTATCATTACCTATAAATTTACCTGAATTATTCTACGTTTACTTGATGGAGAAATATATTTGACGCAAGTAATTTTAGGTGGGGTCCGGATGTAAAAATGAAAATTTTTATCGAGGTTCAGAAAAAGACATATAGATATCTTTCCCCAAGAGGGTGACGCTCAAAGCTCAAACAAACTTTGTTATCTACATTTGCAGATAATTTTTAAATAGTTTATTTGAATAATTTAATTTCAAAAAATTTTTGGCGGTCCAGCTTTTTAATGTTTTCG